TATATATATATATATATATATATATATATATATATATATATATATATATATATATGACGGGGTTGTGGCTCAGTGCTTGCCTAGCATGTGCAAGGCACTGGGTTCGATCCTCAGCACCACATAAAAATAAATAAGTAAAATAAAGGTATTGTGTATCGGATGGGGGACCATGGCCATTGACTCATTAAGGGGTCCTTCTTCCTGCCAAGGATAATCCAAGCCACCTTCAAACTTACAATCTCAAATAATTAAAATAACAAAGCACAAATACTCAGAAATATTTACAGAAAACGAATCCCCTGATAGATCTAGTCCACATGGGTTCTGGAACTAGATAGTTCCAGTGGTTTAAGGTTTTAAGGGCGGAGCCTAGCTTCCCGATGATAGCAGGTTGATTGACATCTTGGCAGGTCACACCCACCTCAGGTGCTGGGTGAGATCTTTGGTCGAGCTTGAAGGGGAAGTTCATCTGTATCAGGCAATCTATCCCTGTGGGGGGTGCCACCAGAGTTCCCAATGCCAAACTTATCCCCTCAGGAGCCTACTATGCGCAGCAGCCCACACACAGCCCATGAACTGATGGCTCGAGACAATTGTGTTCAACTACAACTAAAACAAAATTTAAAACACACACACACACACACACACACACACACACACACATGCACACACACTAATAATAATAATAATAATAATAGGACTGGGGATATAGCTTGGTTCAAAGCCTCTTGGTTCAATCCCCAGCACTAAACTAAGCTAAATTAAACTAAGCTAATTCTAACCTGAGGAAGAAATCCATCAGTTGTTATGTTATGATTGGCGTCTATTGTAACCAGAAAGTAGCATTAAAACTTATTTGATAAGGGAGAAAGAGAGGAGTATAGTTAACCTAAGAGACTGCCAATCTGGAATCCCAAGTGTAGGATATCCCCAAGTCCTGGGCTCTTCCTACCCTACCTCCCACATGGGCCAGTAAATCCACTGTTCTGCTCACACAGGCCCAGTGCTTCTCAGCCTGACTGCCCTGCTGCCCCGCCTAGAGCCAGCCACGCCCTGTGGACCAGGATTAAGAGGACAGTGCCTTCACCCTGGGGTAACCAGGATCTGTTGGGGACAGGACACAAGCTCCCTCTAGTGGTCTATTTGAGCTGAGTCCTGATTGGATAAAGAATGATGGACAAAAAAGAAAGGGAGGAAAGAGAATATAGCATATAAAATCGGGGGTGGGGGGCAGCAGCTGGAAAACTACTAATCTAGAAATTCTGTCTTAAGATTCTTGGTAAAATGCAGGGTTTTTTTTTTGTATTTGGATTTTACATACTGGAGATTTCACTCAAGACAGGTAATTAAGTCCTATAATCCTGCTAATCCCCCTTGGAGGTCCTACTCTATAGACAGACCTCATTTGAACAGACTTCCAAAACCTGTGGGTGTTAGAGGAGGGGATACACTTGTTCACCCTAAAGAAAGAATTCACTTCTGCTCCTTCCTTGATCCGTCTAAATCAGTGCATGTCAGGTTAGTATTTCCCAGTTGGTTGATAGAAACAGTAGCATCCTGATTTCACGAACAGCTCACTCCTCCTCTGTGACCCTTACACCACTGACTGCTTCCCCTTCCTGGAAGCATCTCTTTTGCTTGAAGGAATCCTGAGGGAAGAGGGCTTTCCCGAGGTCGTCCTCTGGTCAAGTGCCTTCTGATCTGGACCATCCTAAGGGTCAGACACCATCCCGAGGTTCTCTTACAGACCTGGACCTTTTTCCAAGTCCAAATGATAGAAGATGCTCTTGCTCAGGTTCACAGAGACAGAAAGACCTGGCTTTGAGTACGTCCTCTTCTACAGTGACTCACAGAAGAAGTGTATCTGCTTGTTCCAGCCTAGGCCCCGGCTGGAAGGGCTGCCTGGGTAAGGCGCAGATGGCCATCCCAGCCAGCAGGGCCAGTTGGAAAGCAGCTACAAGTTCTTGTTTACCAAAATGCAGAGGAGACAGGCCTCATTCTACCAGCTCCCTGGTTCGAAGCTCCCCCAGCCACTGGTCCAGGGTGTGGCCTGTACTTCTGTGGGAATTCTTCCCCTTTGATATCCACCCTCCTAAACTGTAGAGGAGTAAGCAGTGGACCTTAAGAATGAGAAGGGGGAAACTATTCTCATTCAGTGGTGGCCACATGCCAAACCCTGTGCCACCAAGAACTTGGGCTATGTTAACTCCCCAACCCAACTGGGGATCAAACCCAGGGGCTGCCCCCTCCCTCTGCCAGCCTTGGCTATGTTAAGGTAATGGTCACAAGAACTTTTAGAAGAGAGTGTTTTTTCCTGCTTTAGAAATGAATCAACAGATGACCCAACTGGTTAGAAATGTAGGATTGAGAGTCAGGTGTTTGCCTGCAGAGCCGGTGCTATTTTCTCTGCACCATTATATTGACAAAAATTCAGGAGGGAACACAGATCCATCAGAATTTGAGAGTGAGGGTGAAGCTGGGGCAGAGGGCTTGCCCTGTTTGAGCAGGTACAACTCCCTCTACACACCTTGGTCTTTTCTTTGCATTTGTTTTGTCCCCAATTCATCTGCTCCACACCGAGTGGGACAGTACTAAGTTGCTGGCTGGAAGAGAGCCCTTGGCATCTCACTTCACCAGCACCTGGCCATGTGGAGGACAGACAGGGCCTGCTTCTTCCCTTTCTCCCCTCATGTGGCCCTACCGGATTATCCATGGAGGTGCACCAAGGACCATGATAGACACCACGTTTTTCATGACAGCCAACAGTCTTTACAGGAACAATGACCATCACCTTCAGGAGGTCTGTTTCCTTGTCTGGGTTCAAGTTAGAAATAGGCTGGTAGAGGGTCATTCCACGTGTTATGGTGGGAAATAAAGATTCACGAAACAATACTGACAGCAAAGAGTTTTCTGCTTTTGATTTTTTACATGGAGCAATCTGAACTTTTTAGATGATTCTTCTTCCCAAGGACCTGAAGCTTGAAGATGACTTATTGTGTGGCTCACACCTGTAATCCCAGCTACTTGGGAGGTTGAGGCAGGAGGATCATGAGCTTGAGGCCAGCCTGGGCAATTTAGCAAGACTCTTTCTCAAAATTAACATTTTTTAAAAAGGGCTGGAAATTTAGGTCAGTGCTTGCCTACCATATGTGAGGCCCTGTGTTTAAACCCCCAGTACCACAATAAATAAATAATGTACATATAAATATTCTATTATAAATATTCTACATAGAATGATGATGAACTATGTTTCACTGCCTACGGTTGAGAGAAAACTGATCAAGATGCTTATAAATAAATACTTACCTCAGTTTACAAATAATCACTGAGCCCCTATGTAATGATGATTTCTCACATTTTATTATCTCTCTATGAAACACTTCTATATACATTGTTTTATTTGCTCTTTACAATAATCCTGGGAGGTTAGGTAATGTTACCTTCAAGTTGACAAATAAGGATTTGAGGTAAATATACACGTTGTTGGGTCATCGACAGGACCAAATGCAGGAATTTGCACTATACTCCTCTGCCTCAGTGGTCTCTTGGGAGAAGATCTGAATGCAGCCCATACCCTCTGCCATCCAAGGAAGAGGGCGGGAACTGGTGGTGCAGTCTTGAGGCAGAATTTCTGCTTTCTTGGGGGAAGCCTCAGTTTTGTTCATAAAGACCTTCAACTCAGGGGCCTTCACAGATTATGGAAGATAATCTCCTTTATTGGAAGTCAACTGACGGTGTTAACAACATCTACAAAATATTTTCACAGCCAACACCTAGAGAAGTGTTTAAGTTAAAAACTGGGGTATAATAGCCAAGTTGATACATAAAATTGACCATCACATAGGGGATGCTGTTTTATAAATAAATACAGTCATTCTGTCAAAGATGAAACCTCTCCCCTGTGGGTAGAGCTACCTGGTAGTAGGCAAACGGCAAAGTAGTTTCTGCAAAGTGGGTTCTCATCCCTGTGGGCAATTCACACCAGTTAGGATGTGGGAGAATCATGACCAGAAAATATGTGCTTATGTGTAGCAACAATGTTGCATAAAATTCCTGTGTGGGAAGACAACAGTAAAAGAAGAGTCTGATTTTTCCACAAGATGGGGAATTGGTGTGCCAAAATGTTGATGGAGTGATTCACGGTTTGAACATAATACAACACTGTCTGGGCTTGGCTTACAGCTCATCTTCTGTTACTGCTGACATCTCAGCCCTTGGAATAGGATCTGAGGACCCCATTCTGATAGAGACACAGGCCACCCTGACAGTTACCCATCTATATCTTAGAGACCAGCCCATGAACTGCTCTCATTTACTGCTCTATTATAGCCCAGTCACCTAGGGTCAGGTGATAAGACTTGAAGCAAAGGTCACTGGCACAGAAGGAGGAAAGGCATTTCTCTCTTGTGAAGCCCAAAGCAGCAAGAGGACCATCCTCTAGGCCAAAGCTGCTGGTTAGGCCATTGGAATTCTCTTTTCCTGCTGTTTGTGCCCATCCACATTGGTGGGCACAGATGGTGGCTTCCCCCTTTGCTGAAGATTTCAGCCTTAAGGATGGAGATCATCACAAGATATCCACAGACCTCTCTGAGAGCACTAAGTTTAGAGAGTTTTATGAAAATGGCAGAATATCATGGTATATCCCTTTCTACTCCTACTGGTTCCAAAGGGTAAAGGTAGGCTTATTGCTTTGGCATCAAAAGTAAGATCTTGGACTCCAGGCAGGCAGAAAGACCTTGCTGGACTGGTTTCCCTGGAAGCATTGGGGGTGATTCACCTGTATTCTTTGCCTTTCCAGTCATTTTCTTCCATGTAAACTGACCCAGCTGCAAAGACTACAAGGCCCATCTCCCCTGCCCTTGCAGGGAGAAGAAAAAGAAACCAAACATCTGCTGGAGTAGATTCTGTTGGTCCCATTCACTCCAGCTCCCATGTGCACTTTAGCCCTCACTCTGATGGCAGAAACTTCTCCAGGTGTCAAACCTTGCTGTGAATAAAATTTTAAGAAGAGTTCCTGTGCTCAAACTTACACTTGTATATGTCTTCCTGGATACAGGGTGTCTACAATCCCTGGAATGGGAAAGCATCACGTGACCTGAACATCTAACCCAGAAAGCAAAAGCCACATTGGGTTTTTATAGGGAGGGGGGCTGGGGTGTAGCTCATTGTAAGAGCGCTCCCGAGCTAATTTCTCTCTCCCTCTCTATCCTCTGTTGAGAGCCACAGCCCAAGGGTCTGGCAATCCTCCTTCAACAGGCCCAGGCAAGAACAGCAGGAATTATATGAGCTTCCACAAGGTGGCACTAAAGACACGCTCACCAGGGGCGTGACCCAGCGAAGCACCCGGAAGGGAAATCTTTCCGTCGTGCCTTTCCATTGGGTTCACCGGGCTTTCTCTTCCCCGGTACACGTAGGACCGTGCTCCACTAGCGCTGCCGACTTCGGCTGGGCGGGATGGGTAAGGTAGGCTGGAGAGCCGAGTCACGCAGCCTGCGGAGCTAATGAAGAAGGGCTAGTAGCTTCCGCGCAAGGTCCGGGCGTGGACGTAGCTGGGACGCGCAGGCCAGCCAGGCGCTGGGAGCTCGGGGCTCCTTCTTCCGGAGACCCCGACGCGTTGCCCGGCTACCGCGTCGACTCATCTCCCTTCCACAGTCTCCAGGGCCGGGCCTCGCGGCCACCGAGGCACCCGGCCCCGAGCTCTCGCTGTTCGCCTCTCCAATGAATCAGAAGGTGCGCGCCGCGCTGCTGCCTCCCCAAGATGTCGGAGACAAGGTGGAGACCCTTATGGTGAGGAGCCTGCGAGAAGGGAAGGAAGGGGTTCCGAGGCCGCCAGCTCGGGCGGATTCGAGGCTCTAGGGGGACCCTCGGCACAGTCAGATGGCGCGCAGGATTGGGACGTGGCCGGAGTGGTAAAGTTGGGCTGTGGGATTAACGCAAGGCGGGACGGGAGGAGCTGCCGCCCAAACCCTGGGACGGGCTGGGTTGACGTCTGGGGAGAGCGGCGGTATTGCAGCGCCCGGGACGAGGTGTCGGGGAGTGTGCCCGCGCGGGCCCAGCACCGTGCGCGGTACCAGAAGTTGTTCCGAGTGCGAGTCCTGGAGCGATAGATGGGAGGGCAGCCGGGCAGAGCTTTGAACCATAGCAAGGCCAGGGATCGCGCCGAGCCTGAGGAGCCGTAGTAGCCAGAGCGAGCCGTCCCAGGGTTGCCCCAGGAAGCCAGTGGGCCACCGCTTAGGCTCCTCCGGGGCGCAGCCTCTTGACCAGCAGTGGCAGGCGGATTCGCGGGCGCCAAAGACGCCACGCCCCTTGCGGTCCGTACTGGCTGCAGCCTGCGAGCCGCCCAGCCGCCATTGGTGGAGGCGGAGGTGTTGGTGGGCGAGGCCGGCGGTTCCCTAGGGCGGTCTCTCCTAATCCTCGCCGATGATTGGTGAAGGCGGGGGTGTGGCTATGCTGGGGGCGGGCCCTAGGAATTGGGTAGCTAGCTAGATGAGGTGGCTAGCTTTTTTGTTTTTTTAAAGAAATTTAAAGGCAGCCGCAGCAGCTCTACGTTCATGATTTTGAAAATCTGCTTACTTTTTTCTATCCCTCCAGCCTTCACCTCCAGATCTGAATTGGATTTAGGATATTTTTGTAGAATAGGAATTATTTGTAGAATCATTTTGCAAACTGTTATTGTTACCTTTGTGTTTGTGTTCTTTTCTCTTTTATTCGCCCTACCCCTCTCACACCTAAAAAAGAAATAAATTATTCATCTTATTTTCCATGAATAATTGAGCACTTTTTAAAAATTAAGTCTATTCTTGAAGGCTGGAGGTGTAGATCAGTGGTAAAGCACATATTTAGTATGGGCAAAAGGCCACCAGAAAGGGGGGAGGGGAAGGGAAGGAGAGGGGGGAAAGAGAGAGGGAGGGAGGGAAGAAAGAAAAGTCCACTCGCAAATGGTGTGCTATCTACCATTGACAAAATCTTAATTATCTGCCTTTTTTAGTTTACCTACTAGAGGTTAATCCATACTTCTGGCATATATATATTTAGCATCTGGTCTGTGTTCATAGACCTGAAAAATTATAAATATTATGGGCTTTATTAGTTTATTCAACAAATATTGAGTCAATAATAGTTCCAATCTGTGCTGTGAAAAGAAAGATATTAAAAAGATAATTTTTGTCATCCGGGGTCCAGAGGTGAAGGATTTCAGCCTTGAAACAAATTAAGTGCAATACCAGAGGGAGCCTTGGGGAAGCAGCACCTAAGAGAACTGCTGGAGGGAGAAGGGCTGGAGAAGGGCTGGAAGGAGCTGAAAGGAGCTGAGGAGGATTAACCTGTCCTGGGATGAGGCACCCTGAGCCCACTGAACTTTATCCTGTGGATGTGTGCTCAAGGGATAGGCCTTGAGCATGTCACATTTCCTATTATGTGACAAGAGCCTTTCATTTATCACTGTTGAACACCTATTGTGCCCAGTTATTGAGATACCACCATGAAGAAGACAAGACAGGAGTTACCATATCTTTTGTCATGGACCCTTAGTTATAAAGGAGATGGGCATGGGTGCTGCTGCAGGAATCCTGGGGAGGGGGCATTGAACCCAGAAGCAGGGGATTTAGGGAGCAGTAGATGGATTAGGGTAGAGAGACAATACCTCAGTTTTCTGGGGTGAGAGGAAGGTAATAGGCCTCCATTATGGCAGAGGAATTGTATTTGAGAGAGAATGAGAGCAAGCACAAAAATGATAAAGAAGGAGCTGCATGATTCATGAAGACTTTGCAGCCCGAAGTTTGGACTTTATCCTGAGAGGAATGTAGAGCAATAAAAGGGTGTTGACTTTTTAAATTTTTTTATTTCAATAAGTACTAATGACTAATATTCTTTCTTTTTTAGTTCTAAAGATTGAGCCCAGGGGTGCTCTACCACTCCAAATCCCTAACCATTTTTATATTTTATTTTGAGACACAGGCTCTTGCTAATTTGCTCAGGCTGGGACTATAGGCATGTGCCACCATGCCCAGGAATACTTTGTAGTTTCTAACACATTTATTGGTACTATATTTTCAACACATTTATTCTTTTTTAAGTTGATAACTTTTTAAAAATATTTATTTTTTAGTTGTAGTTGGACACAATACCTTTATGTTATTTATTTATTTTTATGAGGTGCTGAGGATTGAACCCAGGGCCTCGGACGTGCTAGGCCAGCGCTCTACCACTGAGCTACAACCCCAGCCTCTTAAGTTGATAACTTAAAATTGTATAAAACATTAACTCTTTCATTGAAGGGTTTTATACCAAAAAGCACTATGGTTAGATCTGCAGTTTTGAAAGATGACTCTGGCTGCAGGGTAGAGTGTGAGTTAGCCTGTCAAAGAGATGAGGTAAAGAGGTAATTTTTTTGGCAGTCAAGAAGGCAAGAGATGATGTATCCTGAGCCAGGATGGATACAAGACATAAATTTGAGCGCTGTTCAGGAGGTGAATGAGCAAGTGTGGAGTGTGGATGGTGCTTGGGTTTTTGGCCCAGGAAGCTGGGTAGATAAATGGCAGTGCATTCACTGGGATGGGGCATCCTAGAGGAGGAGCAAGTTGAAGGTGAGGGGTGGGGATCGTTCATATTTGGAAATATCATCAGAGGTGTGTGGGGGACATCTGAGCAAGTGACTGTGAGGGCCTGAATCTCCTGAGGGAGATGGTAAGTGAAGCCATGGGAGGGGTGTGGAAGCATGGTTCCAGGGGAAATAAAGGAGGTCTTCATTTAAGAGAGTGTCCTGAGAAGTGGGAGGAAACCATGGACACTGTTAATACCTGAAGCCCTCCAAAAAAGCATTTCAAGAGGAAATGAGTAGTGGTCAGCAGTGGTGTGTGAGTGATCAGCCTGAATATCCTAGATTTTCACTTCAGTGGAGCATGAATTTTGAGTTTTGACCAATGGCTTGAACACCTCTGACCTAGGACACATTCACAACCTCTGTGAGCTTCAGTTTGATCTGTAAAATGGATTTAAATAGCTCCTGGGGTTGTGAGATTTACCCAATGCTATTCTGGGAGTGGCCTGGAGGATGACTTTGCACCCTTGAGACTAGAAACTGTCAAGGAGGCCAAAAGGATGGATATATGGGAGTATATAAGGAGTTAGCACCAAAATGGAGTGACTTATGTCAAAATGAAACTAAACGGAGCCAGCAGGGTCCTCGTACCTATTTGCCTTATAGCAAGAACGATCACAAGAGACTTTGCCAAATCTAACCACAATCTTGCAAGTAGCTTTGTTAAACACAACTTTGTTAAGGTCAATTCAATGAAGACAAATTCCTAGTAACAGCCAATACTGCCAGTCAGCTAATGAAGCTCCTGCAGTGAACTCTGTGACCAGTGATTCTTTTTTTTTTTAAATGGTTTTAATATTTTTTTTTAAATACTAGTGATTCTTGTTTAAAACACTTTACATGGTGGACTTCCTTCTGCCTTAAAATTTTTCCCTTTGCAATAACCTCGTCCAATGGGTCTATGATCCATCATAGCACACAGATTGCAGATTTGCAAATCCCCTATTCATTCCTGAATAAACTATTTCTTTTTTTCTTTTTTCTTTTTTTTAATGCAGTTCTGGGTATTGATTTGAGGACCTTGCCCATGGTAGGGAAGCACTCTACCACTGAACTATATCTCCAGCTATTTTTATTTTATTTTTGAGACAGGGTCTCACTAAGTTGCCTTGGCTATCCCTGAGATTCTCCTGCCTCAGCCTCCCAAGTAGCTGGGGTTATAGGTGTATACCAATAAACTCAGTATTCTTTAGAGTCCTTCTAGATTGACAGGGGGCAGACTGGGAAGACCAAGGGATCAGCCAGCAGGACATGGTCATGAAGCTGCAGGCAAAGAAAGCCTTCATGTCTTCTGGGTTTCCAGCCTGATGCCTGGAGAATCCCAGTATGGATCAGAGGAGAAACAGATGTGTGTGCAGAACTGTTGACCAAGTTTCCATTTTGCATCTGTTGAGTTTGAGACTCCTATGAGACTGAAGGAGGAGGTGTTGAGTTAGTGGGGCCAGAGATGTGGGCGTTACTAGCATGTGTGTGAAGTTGCTCTGAGAGGCTGCAGACAGATGAGATAAGAGGAGCAGCAATATCTAAGTGGCAGGTCAAGGAAAAGGAGACTTTGAAGGAGAGCCAGAAACAAAGAGAAAGAGAAACCAAGACTGAGAGGAGAGGCAATCATCTGTATCAGATGCATCAGAGAATCTAAGTAAGATAAAGACAGGGACAGGACAGGAAAGAACATGCACGTCCTTGGTGAGCCCTCAGAACCACTTTAGTGAAGGATATCTAGCTAGATGGCACACTGGGGGCCCAAGGAATGACTGGCAAAGTGTGAGTGAAGCTGATATAGGCATCGGTCTGGAAAGACGGCTTTGGAGCACCAGGCAGAGAAGAGAAGCCAACAATGGAAGGCAAAGGCCCAGTGTGTGAAGCAGCAGTACTCCTTGATGTTGCAAAGTCTCAGGTGAGGCTGAGAAACACAGATCTCCTGGGATATTGGTTAGCAGAAAAGCAGGACATCTCTGGGTAAGAGGGAGTTGGGCCCATACAGACAAAATGTACACCTTTGCCAGGCATTGTGGTGCATATATCTGGAACCCCAGCAGCTAAGGAGACTGAGACAGGAGGATCACAAGTTCAGAGCCCTAGCAACTTAGTGAGACCCGAAGGAATTCAACAAAACCCTGTCTCTAAATAAACATAAAAAAGGGCTGGGTATGTGGCTGAGTGGTTAAGCACCCCTGGGTTCAATCCCCAGTACAAAAAAAAAAAAAAATATATATATATATATACCTTTGTTTGATTTTACCTATTGTCTTATCAAAACACCTGCTGTCATTTCAGGGCTATTGCAACATGGTTGTAAACTCCAGTCTTTAATTTCTGAATTTATTTAGACCTTCCCAGTGGTATTCTAAGTCATTGCAGTTATAACTTGTTCATGGTGGCTCTTGGGATGATCTGTCTTTTCTGTTTATATATATATATTTGTGATGATTTGTTTTTTCTGTGAAACAAGTACTACATATTAGACATTTCAGTTCCTGTAGGTGATTATGTGATATGTATAATGGCAAACTGAATTTATCTTAACAGTATTTTAGGGCTACAGTAGTATAAAAGCTACTAAATGAGGGAAAAGGTCTTTTTTAGATGGAATTTGCCAAGTGTCTTCTTTGGAAAAGAGGGTTTTTTAAAAAGTATGTTTTCACTATCATTTGTGCTGCTGGGTTCTGGGGCTCTGGAAAGAGAACACAGTGTTGTCACACTAGCACCAATGCTAGGAGCTGAGGCTCCTGGGCTGTGCTTGAGGGAGGTACATTTAGTCTTTGAAGGAGTTATACTCCTCCAATGGTGCCTATAGATAAGCCAGTGTGTGTGACAGTGCCAGGGCTGAAGTAGAGGCAACAAACCTAGGAGTGGCTATTGATCTATAGAGCCATCTGTCACCTCTGTAGGTCCCAGTGAGATGGGAGGGAAGGAGAAAGGGAAAGTTTTAAATGAAGGAAATTCATAGATTATAGCAGAAATGGAACTTCTCATACATTGTGACTAAGCTTCAGGTTTCATTTGTTTTTGACCTGATCCTATAATATATTATAGGATGTATAGCCAAGGGAGCCTGGAAACCAAAGTTTAGAGTTAAACTCAATTGAGTTTGCTTTTCCAAAGACAAAGAGATATCTGTAATTTTTCAAATAGGACAAAGTGTGGTAAGTGTGGACAGTGGCATGGAAATAGACATGTTGCTCAGTTTGTTTGCTCAGGGAGTAAAATTATTAGCAACACTAAGACCAGAGGAATAGCTCTTGTAGGGCACAATATCCTCAGCAACATTCCAGTGTTATGAATTTCCAGCCATGTGTTTCTCTGGAATAGATGAATTCTAGATAGGGAAGAGGGAAGGGAGAGGGCAGGGGATTAGCAAGGATGGTGGAATGTGATAGACATCATTATCCAAAGTACATGTATGAAGACACGAATTGGGTGTCAAAGTACTTTATATACAAACAGAGATGAAAAATTGTGGTATATATGTGAAATAAGAATTGTAATGCATTCCGCTGTCATTTATTTATTTATTTATTCGTTTATTTATTAAAAAAAAAAAAAAAAGATGAGGCACTATCCTGGAGTTGCCCAGCTGTGGAGAAAGGTGCATAATGTGCTAGCAGAGCTGCTGACACAATGCTCTCTTATTCTGCAGTTACATCCAGTGATCAAGGCTTTCCTGTGTGGCTCCATCAGTGGGACCTGCTCTACCCTCCTTTTCCAGCCCCTGGATCTCCTTAAAACACGCCTGCAGACTCTCCAGCCCTCAGACCACGGGTAGGGCCTGCTGCTCCACATTTCACTGAGGCACTGGGCTCCATTTCTCAGGCACTGGATCATCTTTCCAATTAAATCAACGTCCATTCTGTTGGATGCTCAAAGAGAAGCACAAGCTGTGCCCAACTGTGTTTCGTGTATAGTGTTCTCAGTGAATATATATTTTTTTATATTTGATGTTTCTTGTTCATTAAGTGGGATCCTTTCCTGTGCAGCTCCAGAGGATCTGCCTCAGTGACATTTGCATTTTATTGTGCTAGCTCGTGATGTCTTAACTGTACTGCTTGATAGGGGCTGGTTTTCTACAAATAACATCATTTGTGACTGTTTTGTGCTATGTAGAGCTCAGCACTATAGGAAGTATATAAAGTATATTTAAAATGGGAGGTTATTCCATTGCTTGCCGTGTGAATGGACAGATGAACATTTGTCAAACCAGGAACACATGGGAAGTCAAGAGTAATTCTACGATGCATTATAGGGATTCCTAAGTGTTTTAGGAAAGAGTAAATACAAAGTCTTTGAGTGGAGATTTTTTTTTTATAAGGAAGTGATCTAAGTGACTTTTCCTCTTCTTTTGTCTGCCTTCAGGTCCAGACGTGTTGGCATGTTGGCTGTATTCTTGAAGGTGGTTCGCACTGAGAGTCTTTGGGGCCTTTGGAAAGGGATGTCCCCTGTAAGCCACCTTCTGGGTCTGGGTTCTCTTGCAGCACTTTTCTTTGGTAACCAGTCATGTCTCATGTACCTCACCAGCTCCTTAGAAGTGATGGGAGTATAGTGGTTTCCCCTTATCTGTGGTTTTACATTCTGTGGTTTCAGTCAGTCCCAGACCAAAAATATTAAATTCCAGAGGTGAATAATTTATAAATTTTAAATTGTGTACTGTTCTGAGTAGTGTGATGAAATATCACATTGTTCACTGCTCAGCCCTATAGGTGAATCTCCCGTTTTTATAGTCATTTAGTAGCTATGTCGGGAATCAGATTGACTATTGGGGAATCAGTATTTATGTTAAGTAATTCTTATGTGCTTAATAGTGGCTCCAAAATGCAAGAGCAATGATGCTAGCAATTGGGATATGCCAAAGAGAAGCTGTAAAGTTCTTCCTTTGAGTGAAAAGGTAAAAGTTTGTGAGTTAATAAGCAAAGAAAAAAAAGTGTATGCCGAGGTTGCTAACAGCTATGGCAAAAGTGAATATTCTATCTGAAGTTGTGAAGAAGGAAAAAGAAATTTATTCTAGTTTTGCTGTCACATTTCAAACTGCAAAGTTACAGACACAGTGTGTGAGAAGTACTTAGTGCAGATTGAAAAGGCATTAAATTTGTGAGTGGAAGATATGAACAAAAAACATGTTCTAATTGATAACAGTATGTTGCACCAGAAAGCACTGAACCTAGAGGAAGACTTCGTTCGGCAAAGTGTCCCCTGTGATGAATGGCAGCAAGCCATTTACTGAAAGTAAGAGATGGTTACATGGATTTAGATAGGTTTGGACTGAAAAATGTAAGACTTACCCGAGAGGTTGTACCTGCTGATGAAATTGCTGCCACATTTCTGGCAGAGTTGAAGAAGTTCATTAAGGAGAAAGCAAGTCTTCAATTTGATGAAGCCAGGCTCTCCTATAAGAAGATGATCTGTATTCGTGAAAGTGTAGAAGAGGCACCATGGCATAAATCATGGAAGGACGTGCTTGATGGAGTGGAAGAACATTGAAGGCCATGAAGATGTGTTAACTAATGAGGAATTGGAAACACTTGTTGAGTCATGAACAGAGGAAGAAGAAGAGGAAGAAACTGAAGCAGAGCCAACAATATGGATATTATTAAAATTTGCTGAAGTGTTTTGAATTGCACAGACATTAAAGGACAAAATTATGGAGAGAACACAGCATTAAAGTCACCTAGTTCATCACCAAAAGATGACAGCCTCTGCAGCAACACTTGGATGAGTGAGAAAGAGAGAACTCTTGAATACAGTGTTCTTCCAAAAGTTTTGGCAAAAAGCCCTTCAACTATCAAAGCTCCCCAACCATTGATACCATCTKCTCCTGACATTCAGCCATCGAGGTTGGAGGCTCTATGATCCTCCTTCTGACCTATTGTCAGAACGTCAGTAGTAGCCTTATACTGTGTCATTCACCTCACTTCATCTCATGAGGTAGGCGTTGTCATCTATTATCACAAGAAGGAGGGTGAGTACTGTGTAAGCTGTATTGAGGGGGTGGGGGAGAGATCCAGACCAAGTCATATAATTTTTATTACAGTGTTATAATTGTATTTTTATTAATTACTGTGCATAATTTATAAATGAAGCTTTATCATAGTTATGTATATACAATATAGGAAAAAACATACTGTTTGTAGAGTTTGGTATTATCCACTGTTTCAGTCATCCACTGGGGGTCTTAAAACATATCCTCCACAGATAAGAGGGGACTACTGCACTTCCCACCCATCTCTTGTACTGTCACTAACTTCGGTTTGAGGGCTCAAGGAAATATTGTACCTGTATACCTTGGGTATGATTTGTTAGTGTAGCACAGTCTGCAGCAGAAATAGCTGGCCTACCTTCTCCCTCTGCCTGCCTTTCAGTGTATTCTTGCCCCTTACCACTTCATTGAAAGTGGGCTGGAACCTCACACCTGTATTTCTTTCCCTAATGGCTTTTACTAGCCCTAAGGACTCACTTTGCTAGGATTGCCAAGGTGTTAAAACTTACCCCAACCCACACAGTCCTCAACCACTGAATAATGGGTTGATGTTTAAACTTCTCCCTCTCCCCTCCAATGGAGGACTAACTCTGAGGTGTGTTCTTCGCTGGTTCCCAGAGTTCTCCAAAGGGACTGAGTTGTCCACAGCTGTAACTGCTTTTGTAGTTCATCCTTTATTAGCTGCCATCTCTCCTGTCTCTCTTACCCACTTCCCGTTGGTGTTTTCTCTGCACCTTCAATAAACTACTTGCATGCAAATTATCTTGGGATCTTTTGGGGAAACCCAGCTAAGACAGTATCCAATGGTGTTGGCTCTTTGATTTCATTGTTCTTCCCTCTGGCCTTTTCTGCAGTCCATCGTGAGATGTGTCCCTGGCGTTGGAATTTACTTTGGCACTCTCTACTCTTTGAAGCAGTATTGCTTGAGAGGCCATCCCCCTACTCCCCTGGAATCGATCATGCTGGGTATGAGCTCTCGCTCTGTTGCAGGGGTCTGCATGTCACCTATCACAGTGATCAAGACACGCTATGAGGTGAGTTTGATAGCTCTAGGACTTCAGGGTTGGTACACAGAGCCACTGGGTTCTTGGGAAGTGACTAGTGTCAACTCTTGATTTATAGTCCAACTTAGAGTTGGATGTGGTCACAGAACTCATTTGTGTAGGCAGGCCAAGCCATGTGTGAGCTAGAGCCCATTAGTGCCTTGGTGACGCTGAATAACCTGAAAAGTCAGCTGGGGTCACTGCTCCAGTGCAAGACCTCTATATCAGTCACTGGATCTGTGCTCCCTTTGCAGAGTGGAAAATACGGCTATGAGAGCATCTACGCAGCTCTGAGAAGCATCTACCGCAGTGAGGGACACCGAGGCCTGTTCAGCGGCCTGTCAGCAACTCTCCTTCGTGATGCACCCTTTTCAGGAATTTACCTGATGTTTTACAGCCAGACCAAAGGCCTAGTGCTCCATGGTAAGGATAAAGGAAGGTGTGGTGGAAAAGAGGTATCCCTGAGACATTGGGTTCTTGCTGTTTTATTTGTTATTCTTTTGTTATTCTGTTTGTTATTCTTACCAGTTTTAGGATCTGAGCCATACTAAGATTGTGTCCGGTTTGGGGCTGAGTGCTGGGCCACAAAGGTGGGTGTGACAGACTTGGCCATTGCCCTTTGGAGTTTATATGCTCTTCAATCAAAGAGTACTGATGCTACTATAATTTGACAGATTGGGGTGGACTGGGTAAGGAATAACGTGTTTTGCAGAGGTTCTGTAATAGTACATCCCAAAACAGTACATTATAAAATTCCTGTGTCCCATCCAAGGCCTCCTAGATGAGAAACTTTGGGGTACAAACCTGTGAGGTGTATCTTTTTAGAAGACTTATTGTGATTCAAGTTTGAGAAACACTGATGGATTAGAAGTTTGAAGGAAAAAAAAATATTTTCATCCTTGCTGTGTTTCTAGTTAATGTTGTTTTGAGCCCTCCCTTTGGGTAGAGGTAAAGCTGCCAAATCTGAGTTTCAGTTAGGCCCACCTCACCAGTAAGCTTATATTGGACTAGATGTGGGTGAAATCTGTAAGTTGTAAACATCCACCCAAGCAGAGCAAGATGTAGAAAGTTGCTCTGTAGAATGCACCTGCATTCAGTAAAGTGTCTGTGGCTAATTAGGGAAACTGGAATGCCTACCATCCAGACTGGTGATCTGCTGCAGTTAGAATGCTTTGGGAGATTAGCTGTCTCTCCCCAAGCCGCAGGAGGTGTGACCCTGCAGGTCACAGCTTTATTTTATAACAGAAAATTAAGGCAATAAAGCATGGAAGTGAATTTTTGTTTGTTTGTTTGTGCGAGGGATGGAACCCAGGGCCTTGTGCTTGTACTCTATCACTGAGCTACATCCATAGTCCCTGGAAGTGTATTTCCTCCCTTTTTATTGGTGCATTATAATTATACATATCAGCAGAATTTGTTATATATTCATACATGCACACAATAAAACAGTATAATTTGATCAATTTTATTCTCCAGTATCTCCCCTTCCTCCCTCCCCTGTTCCCCTTCTACTATTCTACTGGTCTCCTTTCTATTTTTTTTTATTTGTTTTAATTAGTTATACATGACAGTAGAATGCATTTTGACACATTTTACACAAATGGAGCACAACTTTTCATTTCTCTGGCTGTACTTGGTGCAGAGTCACACCTGTGGTGTAATCATACATGTATATAGGGTAAAATGTCTGTCACATTCTACCTTTCTTCACGTCCCTCCCTCCTCTTAATCCTCTCTGCACAATCCAAAGTTCCTTTATTCTTCCGCTAACACCACTATGGATCAGCATCTGTTTATCAGAATACATTTGGTCTTTGTTTTTTGGGGATTAGTTTATTTCACTTAGCATGATGTTCTATAGTTCCATCCATTTACCTACAAATGCCATAATTTCATTTTTCTTTAAAGCTGAGCAATATTCCATTGTGTATGTGTACCACATATTCTTTATCTATTCATCTGTTGAAGGGCACCTAGGTTGGTTCCATAGTTTAGCAATTGTGAATTGAGCTCCTATGAACATTGATGTGACTGCATTACTGTAGTATGCTGATTTTAAGTCCTTTGGGTATAGACTGAGGAGTGGGATAGTGGGTCAAATGGTGGTTCCAATCCAAGTTTTCTGAGGAATATCCATATTGCTTTCCAAAGTGGTTGCATCAATTTTCAGTCCCATCGGCAATGTGCGAGTGTGCCTTTCCCCCCACATCCTTGTATTCTTGATAATTGCCTTTCTTTTTTTTTTTTTTAAAGAGAGAGTGAGAGAGGAGAGAGAGAGAGAGAGAATTTTTTTTTTAATATTTATTTTTTAGTTCTCGGCGGACACAACATCTTTGTTGGTATGTGGTGCTGAGGATCGAACCCGGGCCGCACGCATGCCAGGCGAGCGCGCTACCGCTTGAGCCACATCCCCAGCCCGATAATTGCCTTTCTGACTGGAGTTTTGATTTGCTTTTCTCTAATTGCTAGAGATGATGAACATTTTTCTATATGTTTGTTGATCGATTATATTTCTTCTGTGAAGTGCTTGTTCAGTTCCTTAGCCTGTTTATTGATTGGGTTGTTTGTTTTTTTGGTGTTATGTTTTTTGAGTTCTTTACATATCCTGGAGATTAGTGCTCTATCCAAGGAGCTTGTGGTAAAGATTTTTTCCCATTCTATAGGTTCTCTCTTCACATTATTGATTATTTCCTTTGCTAAGAAGAAACTCTTTAGTTTGAATATATCTCATTTATTGATTCTTAATTTTATTTCTTGTACTTTAGGAGTCTTGTTAAGGAAGTAAGGTCCTAAGCTGATATGATGAAAATTTGGGCCTACTTTTTCTTCTATGAGGTACAGGTCTGTGTGCCTAAGTCTTGGATCCAATTTGAGTTGATTTTTGTACAGGATGAGAGGGTTTTATTTCATTTTGTTACACATGGATTTCCAGTTTTCCCAGAACCATTTGTTAGATAAACTGTCTTTTCTCTACTGTATGTTTTTGGTGCCTTTGTCTAGTATGAGATAGCTGTATTTATGAGGGTTTGTCTCTGTGTCTTCTATTTTGCATTGGTCTACATGTCTATTTTGGTGCCAATATCATGCCTGGAAGTGTATTTTTAAATTTTCAATCCATCCTAAAATTTTTTAAATTGGGTATTTAGAAATAATGTTAAACCTATGAGAAAGGCCACAAGACCAATACAATATATAAATCTTTAAATCTTTTGAGAGTACGTTGTAGACATGACTCATCTTTACCCTTAAATATCTCAGTGTGTATTTCCTAAGAATAAGGACAGGCCCTCATGTAACCATCTATTTTTTCAAATTCAAGAAGTTTAATACAGGTAAAATTCTTGAACACATAGTCCATATTCTGATTTCTCTAATTCCAGTAGTGTACTTTGTAGTAATTTTTATTGCCGGGGGCCAGCCCCGGCGGGGTCCAGGGAGTCCCGAAGGAGGAGTGGCGTCGGCGAAATGATGAGACAGGAGTCGTTCCCTTTGAGCAATCTTCAGAGAGAAAGCTAAAGCTGCTTTCTCTGGGTCCCCTTTTTATTACAATTTTTCTCATCATTATAGATTCACAATACGTCATTGATTATATAACTTAAAACTTTGCCAAGACATGACATTTCCTTAACCATGATTGAGAGCACACGGATCTACATTCTTCCAGGATATGACCCCTAGCCATACAATCATCAAAAGTACAGAATCATCAATAAAACATGTCACCAATTTACATCCTTCAGATTTTCCCAAGATTTACTATTTTTCCCAAGATATGTTATTTCCTTATTAACTAATGCCAAACTAC